CCATCACTACCTGCTGAACACTGTTTTAATGGAAGATTTGCCAACTATACCAACGGTTTGGGCTGAATGAACTGCAGATGTTTTATAATTAGAAAATGAGTCTTAAAATGTCTGAGAAATATCAATAGTGTTTCATCATCAACAGTGCCTTGCAAACACTGTAATAAACAGTATTACTGTATCCATATGATTGAGTTATACTCAGAAAACTTACATTTATATTTATGTTTTTTCTCATCAAAATAGTCTTTGCTGTAGGTGAATCTAATGGAGACGTTTTCTGATTTCTCTTGCCCATCATGTGCCGTCACGAACACAAAGTAATCGTCATCCGCATCTCTGCTGTAGCTGCTGATATCAAGGTACGTCTGAGGGGTGTCAACTGTTTGGGAAGCACTAGAGATAAATGGGACAGAAAGATTAAGCAATATCACATTTTCTCAAATTGTATTTTTTTTCTTGGTCAGCTGCTTTTGACACACACATACCTTTCATAAGGTTCAACCTTTACGCCAAATTTCAGCTGTTCAGTTGGGTTACTGTAGTTCCAGAAGAGGACATTCACAAAATTGTGACAAACAACACTGACGTTTGTTGGAGAAGGAACTGTAGAAAAAAAAAAAGTTAGATTCAGATTCAGTTTAATAGACTATTTAATCTATTATATAAACTCAAAGCTCATGAGAACAGCAAATCCTTCCAGTAACGGCTACTGAAATGCTGAGTTGTTTTTAAAAGATGTCAGAGATGTCACAATCTTGGACTAGATTTTGAGGTTTGCTCAAACACAGTCACTGAATTTTGGACACACATGACTGAATCTTATTATCTAAATATTAGGGTTGCCCCCTAATCGTCGACTAACCGTTAGTCGATCAGAAGCGGCTTAGTCGAACAAAATTTAATTAGTCGCTTAATTGCAGAAAAAAATCCACAGGAAGTGGCTAAGTCTCATAGTTTGTGATGGACAGATCATTAACAGCTAGTCTATGTGGTAATTACAGTACATCGGTCAGAACATCCAAATGTTCGATTCGATCATCGACCTCAAATGTGGCTTATCATCTGAAACATGTAAGTAGCAGCAACATTACTGCTCGTTGTAACATTAATCTAGAAAAATGTGCACTATTGAAGTGTTTGTGCGCAGTGTGGAAGTATGCTTACTGCATGACAGTTAACTTGGAGGTGGCGATGCGATCATTTGCATTTAACTTAAAATACACTGGCATTTTTGCTCATACAGATAAGAGTAATACATCTTTCGAATCTGTAAAAGGTATACTGAGGTATACTCATTTGTGTGCACTCACAATAACAACAAAACTCTGTGCTTTTGTAAAATAATGAAAGCAAGGAGGGTGCGCTTTCTGCCGTCTCGGTGTCTGTGAATTTGAGCCCGTCAAAAAAAAAAAAAAATTTACCCGAAACACTGTGTTTGCCTCACAGACATGAAACATATAGAAAATGAAGCTAACCAATTTGTGAGTCACAGTACTTGCACACTATCAGTACTTGCTAAATATTGAAGTTTATTATCACAAGCACAAGCAACGTTTCGGTCCACTGTCGATCACATTTTTTTATTTTTTCTACAGTGTTGGACTATTCTTCCTACGCACCTATCAATGTTCAGGTGTGCTGAGTTTGTGGTGATTGAGTCACAGTACTTAAAAAAAAGGCCTTAGATGAATACATGTGTTTTTTGAATGGCCAACCATCATAACAACCTGCAATTTCAGGTCATTCTGAACTGAGGAAGTGGCTGATAGCATGTGCCATCACAGGAAATGCAGGTCTTATTTAATATGAAGACTTTAAAAAATCAGACCCGTGGTGTATTCATGGAAGTCCCTGTAGCATTTTATATATTGGTATATACATTGCTATTTTGGTGCCTATAAAATCAAAACAAAAGCTTGCACACCACTGGAAAATCTCTCAAACTGGGTGCTCAACAAATAAATACTGAAAATGAAACCAGAAAAAAGTCAGCACACCTAGGCTCCAACAATACAAAAATGTAATAACAGAGTATCACACAGGTGTCTGTCTGCTATTAATTTTTTTTATTTTTGGAGCCTAGTTGAGATGATTTTTTTCTGTTTTCATTTTATTTGGCACACATAAAATGCTTTATTATTATTATTAGGAGCCAATCACTGAAGGTGCTTAGACACCTATTGTATCCGTTTTCTTCTTCTTCTTCTTCCACTCTGGAAGTTTATGGCAGCCCATAGAAACGCTTGCGGGAAAGTTATGAAATTTGGCGCACAAATAGAGAACAGTCTCAATATTAACCATAGCAATTTTTTTTCCTTTATATAATTACGATGTATAATAAAGTAAAATAGCCTAAATTATGTCAGCCATTTCTCTCATTTTAAAGATATTATCAATAATTATTTTTTTATTCTTTTATTTTCTTAACTTTTTAATTTTTCTTAAAATTTGTTAAAGAATTCATAATGATTTTTTTTTCATAACGAATATAGGCTACCAACATAATGAATATCTATTGTTTAAAACTAATTTTGCATAAAAAAATAATTAAAAAATCCCAAATATGACATGAAATTAAATTATTCTATATACACAATTTAATTTTATATAGTAGTTTTGTGTCAAATGGATAAGGAAATTACAATGGCTTGAATTTCTCTGCAGTTCTTCGTCATCTGTCTGACAGCGCCATAACATTTGCTGTAGACTAATATAGGCCTAATGAAAATTTAAATACACAAATAGCAATTTATATGACTTTTGTTTCTGAATAAATTGATCAGTAATGTTTTATTTCGTTCTGATCGGTAACTCGGAAACTCTAACGAAAAAAAAAATAGCCTACCGTTTTAATCAGAACCAATTAATTTTTAATCCCTTTCAGACATATATTGGATAATGAATATATTAGCCTATTGCTTGACTAAACGTTTAAAAATAATTGGACATAATTTGTCCAGTCATGACGCGCCAGTCGTTAAGTGTGTTGTGTAGTGGTCATTAGGTTTGTGCTCCTCTCTGACTGTCAAAGACTAGAATCTGCGCCAGTCGATGGAAACAGTTTTGAAGTGTGTTGAGGTAAGTCTTAAGGCTTGTTCACACCGGGACAAATATCGCGCGCGATCATCGCCGACGTTTAACACCTCGTGACTAAACAAAGGGCGCCAATGTAAGCGACACGCATAACGCGAGGCGTAAAAGCTCGGGCTCGTTTTTTTGGTTTGACGAGCCGCGTTAAAAACTGGCCGACCAATGAGATTGGCGCTTTTATTCACGTGCCTGGAGCTGCTGAAGTTACAGTAAAACACAACTTGGTGGCGCTCAAGCACAAAACAGTCTTGCCGAGCACACTTGATACCTAATGACGAAGAGGAAGTAAGTAGACCAATTAGATGCATCGTGGCAAGATGAATGAAGAGCTGGTGGTCTCATTGGTGTCTGAACACAAAGGGCTTTATGACAAGCGCGACAGCGACTACAAAAATCTCGATAAGAGGGAGTTGCTATGGAGAGGAATTGCCGATCAAACAGGATTCTATGTGTACCGGGTAGTGTTGTCAAAAGACCCGGTATTTCGGTACCAAGTCGGTACTAAAAAAATGAAAACGTTACAGTACCAGGTTTTCTTAAGTACTGGTGGTACCGAGTACCCGGTCAACCCGGTTCTTGATGCGCTAAACGAAAGCTATCCTCTTCCAGTGTTGCCAAGTCCGCGGTTTTCCCGCGGAATTGGGCTGCTTTAACACTGTTGCCGCGGGTTGTTTTTTTATGTCCGCGGGTTGAAAAACGACCCCACTAACGTGATATTTAGCCCCTGGAATGCGAATTTTACCAGGGGAACCCCGCCAAAACACGCGTATTTTATCCTCGGAACGCGATTTTTAACGGGAGACCCCCTCGAAACGCGATTGGGCGGGTTTTGTTGTGAAAACCTGGCAACCTCTTC